GTCCTACTAACCTGTTTTGAAAATGTCTCATGCTATTTCTTTCTCAATAAAATTAATAACAATGAATAAATAAATACATGTGTGCTGTTTCTAATGTCATATCAATTATTACTATATTCTCCTTAAAGCAAACTTTTAAAAAGTTAAGAAAGAGAGACAAGAACAAAAATTTAAGGTATCTTGAAAGCAAGAATTATATCCAAACATATGTCCAATCTTACATAGCTACATCTGTTCTTCTGAACAACTGATTTGGTGATAAAATAGATATCTTCCATTGTTTATCAGATATTCTTGGTTTGAAATTCTGTAACATATGAACTGTTGTATGGTGCCTGTTTCTTTCTTTGTTTCTGGTTACACTTTTGCTTTACTTTTTCTTTTCACACTAAATTTAAATTAAAATACAAAATAAAAGAAGTAATCAAGATAAAGGAAATAGTAAGAGATAGCAGTCAACTGAAAATAATCCATTAAAACTGAGACGAGATTAAAGCCGAAAAAACCCCACCAGAATGAACCTGCTCATTTGTAGGCTTCTGTGTGGGATATGAGAAAAATATGCTTGGAATGTCAGGTTTCTTAACCTCAATGCTTGACAGTGTCTTTTACTGGATGAATTCTAAGAGTCAGTATAAGGGACATGCACTTCAGTTTCATTTCTTTCATGCCAACTAAACTCCATTGACATGATAGTTACAAAAATTAGAGCCCATGAAATTAAATCAACACTCTAATGAACTTCTGTGAGCCCATAAGAAGGATCAAGGGGCAGCCATGAATCGAGGAAAATTCAGAATTGATGTTATCTATAAGTCATTGAGGAGAAGAAAGAAATAATCATAAAGCAATGCGTGACTCATTCAAAATATTTCACTTTTATACCTAGGTTTCAGAGTCCATTGCAATGTACTTGATTAAAGATGTGCTTCCTTTTAAGTAGACTAAATAATCTCATAGAAGAGAAAATATCACAAGGTATAATAAGCATTGGTAAGGTTCCTCAAAGGATCATACAAAATTGATGATTTAGAATAAACAAATATATGTTCTGCTTTGATTTCTTCATCTAAGTTGTTATTATTCAAAGATTAGTACTTTTGTCTGAGAAAAAAAGTATCATGTATTCCTAACCCTTCCTCTCAGAAGTAATAGAGCATATCCTTCCTCTGAAAACACTAGAGCAGAAAATTTGAACTAAGGAAATACATTATCTTTGTCATCTGTTATATTCATAATAAAAAGAAGAAAAATAGTTTTAAAAAACAAGTCATGAGTGGTGATGCATGCCTGTAATCCCAGGACTTGAGAGGCTGAAGCAGGAAGATTATAATTAGTTCCAGACCAGCCTGAACTACACAGTGAGAGCCTGTTCCAAGGCGGAACACAGGGGAATAGGAGATCAAACAAAAGGGAGAAGAGGTGAATCAATAAAGAGAGAAGTAGAAGCAACACTTAATGCTTTTGTAGCAAGGTAGAAATCCTTCTGAGTCTCACCTGAACAGACAACCTCCACGGCCCCACCATATTGGCAGCTGCCTCCAGCACAAGGAACTCTGGGACAAAACCAGAGCTCAGGCTCCTGCCCCACACACTGGAATTCTTCATCCCAGACCTGCTCACTGACACTTCTGGTCACATTCCCCAGGACAGATACAGCTTTGCCACAGCCCAGCTCTGCACAGACAACATGGGCAGTGGAAAGCGTGAAGTTCACGTCAGACACTGGTGTCCACCGTCCTCCAGAGTTCACTTCCACTCGCCCAGAGCAGGGTCCATCTTGCCCAGCCAGACGCAGAAATCCTGTGAGACAGAAAACAAGTTCACTAAATATCCATGATACACACTTAGAATTTGTAAAGGCATGCAAGAAGTGATGGTGTGAAAAACTTCCTTTTCCCAGAATGGGATCATGGGAAGATTTGCAAACTGGTGTCAGAAAGCACTTTACATGACATAGTGTTTGGAGACTAATTCAAGAGGAATTTTCAGATTTAGCTCTGACAGTCTGTCACTTAATCATTTATATTCAAAAGTATTTATATATGCTTTTAAAAGATGTTATTCTTTTACATACTAAAAGACTACTCATTTGTCTAACTATATTCATATGCAAAATTCTTTGTTTTCTAATACCTATGCCTGTCCAGTGAGCGTGACCTCAATTAGGATAGATTAGGCATTATTATTATTAATTATTATTATTATTACTATTATTATTATTTTATTTAGAACAGGTTCTACAGGGTCTCACTAAATAGATTGGACTCTAGTGATTCTCCTGTTTTCAGCCTCCCAAGCACTGGTATTACAGGTGTGCCCAACCATGCCCAGGCTCAAAGGCTGTCTCATGGACTCCAAGGGTAGGGCTGGCAATGCACATGCACACTGGGGATAGAACTCTGACTGGTATGTTCTACTTAAGCAGCCACTTTAGTCACCTGAGCTAACTGGCCAGCCCAGGATTCATTATTCACTGTTTTATCCATATAATATTTCAGTTCCCAAATATTAACCCTAAATAAATTAATATTTAACAAGTTAGTATAATTTCAATGATTATTAGACATTATTATTTATATTTACTTCCTGTTCAGATAAGAGAAAGAGGACCATGATACAGTGTAAGACAGAGTGTCAGGTTTTTGTGACTAAGATAATACAGTTTCATATGTCCCATTATAAAATAGAGAGGAAAGATTGGGAGCCAGATAGTACTAAGGGATAAGAAAATTTTTATTTTGTTTTTAAGAATTTATTTTGTCACTCTTTAGTAAAATTTGAAGACACCTTAAGACATTTTCCTATAAAAATGATGAGAAACTGATTTTAGCAGCAGGCTCTGAGCTCTGGGGAGGCATCTGTCTATAGGCATAGAAACGTTACATGAAAATAAGTATATGTAGTGAAGATGTTCAGAAGGATTGTGTTCTCAAGAGAAAAACATGTTCAGTAATGTTTTCTTTCTAAAGTGTATCATCAGGTGGTGAGATAACTCAGTAGAATAAGTGCACACCTATCAAGCACAAGGGCCTGAGTTCAATCCCCAGTTTAAAAAAAAAAGTGTGTTACCAAAACAATCACTAATTTATTTCTTAAAATTGCTATTTCATTCTAATTAGACGTTTTATTTCTTTTTAAGGCTAATGTAGTAAATTAAAGTCTGGATTCCCAAAGTGATTATATAAGGATATTTGAAATTATATCATGGCTGGAGTACAATAATGAAATTGTACCTTACCTGAAAAGTCAGAATGCAGATACAAACTCTTAAATATAAGTAACTAATCTTTAGAGCCTTGTAGATGTAGTGAGTACAAGTCCTACAGTGGTGTTATTAAAACCAGGCTTAGAGGCTTAGATAGGACATTTTTAGGCAACAGTAGTTACAGTAATGACCATCCTCCTCATGCACAATCAGAGCAAAAAGGTGAATGTGGACCCTACCTGAGGATGTTGTCACATGTCCTTCCTTGGGTGCTCTGGTTGCATCCAGGTCCCTCTGCAAATTACGGTCACACTGACACTACTGCTGGGGACCACTGGTCCTGTGACACTGGGTGAGAGTCTCTGGCTTAAATACTCAATTACGTTTTCTGTGTCACTGTTTTCTCCATATTTTTTCTACTGGACATGGTATATTTCTATCTTTCAAGAAGGCAGTGGAGTCTTTCAATTTAGATGGGATAGAACTGGCTGTTTAACTTCTAGCATTGCCAGTTCTATGGATAACCAGCTACAACTACTATTATGGACTACTGGACTATATTGTACAATTTTGCTGAATTCATACACCTACAATATTTAAATGGCAATGGAATATTCATCTCTGATAAAACTGAACAGAAAATGGGGATATAAGTTAAGGACCATTTTGTAGTGATATATATATCTAGATAGATAGATAGATAGATAGATAGATAGATAGATAGATAGATGCATATATATATTCTGTATATACAAAGCAGGATAGATATACAGCTACTTTCTCTTAATTCAATGAGAAGAAATATTTGTTTGGACAGGAAATTATGTCTGCATCTTGTACTATGAATAATTACTATGAAGACAACAATATGCAATGTATTAATTATTGTAACTATCCTACTAAACTGTTTTGAAACTGTCTCATTGCTATTTCTTTCTCAATAAAATTAATTTAAAAAAATAAAATAATTAGTTCATATAAAATAAGAACTGCCTGTTTACTAATATCTGAGAAAAGCCTTTGCAGTATGTGACTATGGCCTCTACTGGTTAAGTGGTATTTGTGCATAAGAAACTGATCTGCAGTATAATATAAAATGCTTGCAAAAATCTTTTGCATAATTTCCATTAATGAAATTGGAATGTTTTTGGAGAATGAAATGATCACTCAGCGCAGTCCTCAATTTCACTGTTGTGCTCTTCACCAACTAATGAGACCCATCCTCCTATGGCAGTGATGGTGAACCTTTTAGAAATGAATGTCCATATGAGAACTTGTACTGTAACGTCATGTACCTCGGTAGTGTCCCAAA